TTTTTTTTTAAGTTCAGGAAGTTAATTGTGCAGCTATGTGTTGTGTCAGTTGTAGGCGTCGGTTTCAGTGATCCAACAAATGGAAAGTTGCCTCTGCGCGAAGAAGGTCCCACGAGAAGAATTGAATTTGAAATTTTTTAGTCGTATATGAGTAGGGGACATTCTTTTAAAATTCCAGTTTTCCAGCTTTTCTTTTTCTCGAGTTGGCAGTTTTCTCACCAAAGTTTTCGTTTGCCCCTACTTGAGTCCTGGACGATCCTAAGGAGCTGGATTTGAAACCTTTTGGTCATGCACGAGTAGAGAACAGTGCCCTAAAGTTTCGGTTTCCTAGCTTTCCTCGTTCCCGAGCTAACAATTTTTCCGCTAAAACTTTCACATGTCGTAAGTGAAACATAAACGTTCGAGACTGTTGATATCATGTTCCTGGAATTGCAGTTGGCCAGGAAACGCACCGGCAAAATTTCAGCATAAAAGTTTGTGTAGTCGCCGAACAGAAGTACCCGGACAGACGAACAAACGCAAACATACACACAGACAGGGTCATCGCAATGTGCGTTTTGTTGCCTGTTATAGCGTTCTTTCGCCCCATGACAAAAACGCATAAACAAGGACGTTGCATGAATATGCCATTGCATCCGATTCATGCATACATTAGCAAAGGTGTTGATGGTATCTAGACAAGAATACTGTCCCGCTCCCTTTATGCTGCCTTCCCCTCTTCACCCTTCCCCTCCATTGTGCTTTAACGTTATATCACTGGTAACTAAAAATGCGCAATTCACCTGTAAGCCGACGATATCCGGATTCACTGCTTTGATGTGGTTGACAATTTTGTAAGTACCGTTTTCGACGTTGGTGCCCGAAACCCAGATATTAAATGTCATCACCGTAAAATTGTATCGTCGGAGCCGCGCTGCATCTGACGTCATCCAAAATAGTAGCACTGCGTAAAAAGCCAGAGACATCCTTGAAGAGGTCATCCTGCAATGCAACTTACGCATACGGTACTTTGCATGAAGAAACATGTTACTCTCGAGAGTGCTAACCACAAAATTTCGGCGCGCATCACTGTTGGTGTGACCAAGAACTTTTGCTATTTTTTCATTTATTTTGTAACTAAATGCTGTAAATGCACAGTGAATGAATACACCACAGCAAGCAAAAAGCTGTTACGCCATATCGCAATGACCTTTCATTCCCTCATCGTTGAGGTGTTGATCCATAGCCTGATTTATTTATAAAACCAATCTGAATTTTAACCTGAGGTTAAAGTTTAGGACATGAATAATATTAAAGTGCGGCGAACGCCAATGTCGCCAATGTCAACTATGACAAAGTTCGCCAGTAGACAACTGCCGATTTATAAACTAGTTGATTTGAAATCACTCTTAATGATACAGCTCTTTTTCAGTAGTAATTAAAACAGCAGTAATTAAAACAGCAAGAAAATATATTCGTTAAAAGCAAAATGAGGTCACGGAAAGTCAAAGCAAATATTTGATTT